GCTCCCCCAGCCCTGCCCAGTTTTTCATGCAAATTGCTCCCAKTTCTCTTATCAGTGCCCTCACATCCCCAGATCAATATCACTTTTCCCCCACCAACAGTGGGGGAGCAGTGGCCTTGACCCCGATTTCTGCACCCCTGCACCCACCCCTGGGGCATTTCCCCTTCCCCAGCAGTTTCCCTTTCCAGGTGGGATATATTCAATATATACATCGGGATTTGTGCTGTAGGCACCCAGGCAGCCTGGGGCACACCGAGTTCTCGTGCAGGGTGTCCTTCCAAAGCAAACAAAGACCTGGACGAGTCTCGTCTTTCCCATCCCACTTATTTGTCCTGAAACGGCGATAAAAACAAAAAAAATCCCCAAGTTTTTCTCCTGCATGCAGGGAAGCCACAGAAAGGTGCTGCAAAACAACCACATCTGGCCTTTAGGTGTAATTATCTGCCTCARGAGCTTTGTTTTCAGCTGGGAGAGGGTTTAACTCTATTATTTTAAGGAGTCCTAATGGYATTAGAGGACTTACTGTCAGTGATCAGTACAGGAAATCCAATTCCTGCTTTTCATTTCTGCTCAGTGTAAAYCATGGCTGTCAGAAAAAGTCCATTTTTTTAGAATGCATTGAAAGGAGAAATCAGAGCTGGAAGTGTCCAAGGCTGGGTTAGACAGGGCTTGGATCATCCTGGGACAGTGGAAGGTGTCCCTAGGATGAGCTTTCAGGTCCTCTCCAACYCAAACCAGTCTGGGCTTCTGTAACATTCTGGAGAAATGATTTTTTAATTTRATTTAATTTAATATTAATTTTTTACATAAATCTGAACACCTAGAACTGCAAGATTTGCCTTCACACTTAATGGGAAGGCTTTGTTTTATGGATTTACAATTTATTTTTAAAGTTCCTGGTATTTTTGGGCCCATTACTCCCTTTTTTTTTTCTAAGAGCAGGTGGGTGTGACACTCTCAGCCTGGACAGAATTGGGAGCAGGCTGGGAAATTTTCAGCATAACTAAAAATAGCAGAATGCAGCTCCCAATTAAACTTCCCAAGCATTGACGAGGCCTTTTGAAGAATTCTTGGCCAAAGGGACAGGATTGAACCACACCTCTCGTGTCAGACATTCTTAGCAGCAGTGCTGCCGCCAGCTCTGGTTGGGACATTTTTTCTTTGCAATTATCTTTGGACACGGATTTTAGGAGCCAATATCGAGCAGAGAAATGGGGAATGAGGGCATTTCCTGGGCTTGCTGGCTGCCAGGTTCCTGCAAACAGGCTGTGGGTATTCAGGCTGGCACTGCCCAGGGAGCAGGGCTGGAATTGAAATTCATACTTTTGTCATCCAGAGACACTCCTGAGGCTGAAGAAGTTGCAAGCAGAGCCTCACAAAAGGGCAGAGCATTTATGGAGCAGCAGAGTCAATATTTGATCCGTATCCCAACATCAGCCCTAAACAAACACAGGTCACCTCAAACTGTCCTAAATCTCAGGAGGACTCGTGACACAGATTTATCTCGGAGCTGCAGGCACACTAAACTTTTATAATTAATTCTGTTTTCTTTGGCAGCTGCACCATCCAGGACCCTTTGGGCACAATTGCTGCTTCTCCATGATACAAACAAACCCAGAATGTCTCAGCCACAATAAAGAAAAAGTGGCACCACAAGAGTTTGGAGATTCCCAAGCCCAAGGGAAAGGGGTGCAGAAACCTCATTTGTGCCCATTTATTTATTATTTTTTTCCCCACCTAATATCAGTTTTGGAATTAAGACCAATTGGTTTTCCTATCTGTAAATACAAGCACACACAGGCTGCTTGCCCCACTATAAATTCCTTTCCAGCCTAGCAGCAGCTCTCTAGCAGGGTGTGAGTCAGGCTGCCAAGGCAAAGGATTGTTTTTTGAAAGCCTTAAGTCTTCAATTAAATTGTCCCTAATCACAGAGCCCAGTAGCATTGCAGCATGCAGATTTATTTGGGGGGAAAGCAAGAATGTTTATGGAGCTGTAACGAGCTGCAGGGGTGTTTGATGATGTTTGTACACACACATTCACAGCCCTCCCTGACAACTAACACACACCCCTCAAAATCTGGAGCTGACTTGGGAAAATTCCGAGTTTTTTTAG